ACAGCTATTTCCCAAACCATTTCTTTGGTAAGGCTTTGGGATCCTTTGTGTTTTCCCAACAAATTTATCTCCCTGACCATGCTGGATTCAGGTTGATAGTGAAATAACTCTGGGGATGGGTGGTATAATGGAGGTGGGGTAGTGGTCTGCATGGCAAGAGCAGGAGTTCTCCTGGAATTATTTCTATGCCACAAAGTCTATAGTTGAGAGTGGTCCATTCGTAGGTACATGAATCACAGCAGAGCACAATTCTATGGTGCTTCATGGCTCCAGAGTGATTTTCATGTATTATCCTATCTGATTCTCACAATAATCTTGGGAGATAGGAAGAGCAAGGAGCACTGTGACCCAGAATCTAAATTTACTCTGAGTTTACAGGAACTTGGTTGAATTGTGCGGACTTCTCACTTAGTATCTCTTTGGCTCATGTCCCAACCCAGGCCTTCCCCTGAAAAAACATGAGAATTTGGCTTGTGTCTAGATCTCCACGACAAAAGAAAAGAGCCCCACAGCTCCCATGAGAGCACTAAGGCTAACAAAGCACATAGGAGGGGCTTCATTTAACTCACCCAAAATGTGCAAATACACATCCACAGCTGTCAATAACCAAGATGCTCCACCTCCCCCGATGAGATCGCGGTTCTCGCATTGATGAGATCATCTCCTCAAGGAGATATTTCAAATCTTGTTGTTGTTCAGTCATTCAGTCGTGCCCGACTCTTTGTAACCCCCTAGACCATAGCACACCAAGCCCTTCTGATCGGACGGGCTCATCTTCCAATGCCACGTCTTTTTTAGCATTTTAGTACTGTCTATGGGATTTTCTTGGCAAGATACTGGAGTAGTTTGCCATTTCCTTCTCCAGATCCCGTAGCTACCATAACGATAGTTCTAAAATGTAGGTCTTACCATGTCACGCCTTCCCCACCCCAACTCAGTAAACTCCAGTGGATAATGTTGGTTCTTTGATAAGGTTTTGTCTGGTCCTGAGCATTCCCCTTGCCATTTTGACTCCCTGTGGAGAATGGTTTGTTGATTCATAGATACTTCATGTACCTGGACCATACTCTTACAGTTGGCTTTAAAATGGAGAGCAAGAAACCCAGGGCGGTGACACACAGAGAATGTCAGAGCTGAAAAGGACAGAACTGAGGGGCTCCACTGGGACTCAGACACGGTTCCCTGATGGGGTGTGGGGCAGGATACCTGGACATCTACATGGCCTATCAAGGACACTAGATACCTGCATCATGGCATTGGATGGAGGTAGTGGTGGAATAACAAGGAAGTTCTGGGTCAAGTAGGGAGCTGTAGGAACGTGAGCCTGGAGCAGAGGTGTGCCGATGGCAAATCAGTGAGAAGTTTCTGAACTAAGGAAAAAATGGAGCTGAGGATCAGTCAGGGACAGAGTCAGGATGCAGAGGGACAAACAGACCTTGATGGGTATTGTGAGTCGTATGGATGCTGGAGATCCAGGGAGAGGGACTGACCCTCTAGTGACATAAACCTAGAGAACTGTCCAGGTGCTTAGAGGAGCTGAGGCTGACGAAGAGGTCCTAGAAAGCTTAGCTGTTTATAGGATCTGTGTATAGGCTCGGGGGCAGACTTTCACTTGTTGGGTTAAGTAAAGCCTGTCCTGTATTTGCTGTTTTGTTAACCTGAGTGCTTGTACATGGCTGAGGACTCTCTTCCTTTCAATGCGGAGACCATGAGCCAAATGCTGGGGTTGCCCAAGTATAGGGGATGAGCCAAAGAGTGTGCGAGAAGCCTCCCTTTACCCCACAATCAAATCTAGTCCGTGGAAACCCAGAGCTTCAGATCATTTACAAATAGTTCATTGCTATCTCTTAATATATCTTCATTTCTGAACATGGGTACCTTTCCTTTCTTTAGCCATCCTGTTATAATTAAAAAGAAAAAAAAAGGAAAAAGTGGTAAAACCAACCAACCACATCAACTGTTCCACACCCGCCCCCCCCCAAGAAGAATAGAATCTGCAAAGAAGAGGAAGCGGGGGGGGGGGTGGGGGGTGGGAGGGGGAGGGGGGCCACAGCGTTTACTCAGTTCTTTCCTAGGACTGAGCTTGATCATTCTAATGACACAGAATCCAAGTTCATTGTCTGTTCTTTCCACTTACATTGTTGGAGATGCTATGTGTACCATTCCTGGCACTGCCTCCTTCACTTAGCACTGTTTCCTATGTCTTTCCATGATTCTCTGAGCTCTTTAACATTCATCATTTCATGTTAAAGTCACATTTCCTTACATTCACACACCAGGATTTTAGCCGGTCTCCAGTCAATGAGCATCCACCTTGTTTCCAAGTCTTCACTACCACAAAAAAGACTGCCATAAGGATAATAGCTGTGTAATTATATAGACCCTTAAGGTTGGCTAAGCACTATAAATAATAATAATGATAATAATAATAGCTAGCCTTTATGTAGTATTTTAAGATTTTTGTTGTTTAACTGTTTTTCAGTCCTGTCTGACTCTTTGTGACTTCATTTTGGAGTTTTCTTAGCAAAGTTCCTGGAGTGGTTTTGCTTTTTCTTTCTCCAGCTCATTTTACAGTTGAGGAACCAGAGTCAAAGAGGGTTAAGTGACTTGCCCAGGGTCACACAGCTAGTTAAGTGTCTGAGTCCAGATTTGAACTCAGGAATATGAGTCTTCCTGGCTCTAGGCTAGGCACACTATCTATTGCCCCACTTAGCTGCCCCATGTTAAGGTTTACAAAGCATTTAATCAATACTATCTAATTTTATCCTCACAACAACACAGGGAGGTAGGTATTATTATTATTGTTATTATCATCTCCATTTTACAGGTAAGGATATTGAGGCACGTGGAAGTTAAGTGACTTGCCCAGGTCATATAGTTAGTAAGTATTTGAGGGAGGGTTTGAACCCCGCTCAAACTCAGTTTGAAATTGGGTTTTCCAGACCCCAAGTCTAGCATTCTTAGCCTCTGCACCACCTAGTTGCCTTTGACTACTTTGTTGTTTATGGGATCTTTCTATATTGAAATGGGATCTGGTCAAAGTGTGTAAAGATTTTGGTCAGTTTTCTCAACAAAATTCCAAATTTTGGTTGGACCAATTTCGTTGGGAAAGGTTGGACCAGCTCCCAACTTCATCAACAGCGTATTCCTGTGCCCATCTTTACACAAGCCTTCCAGCATTGACTCTTCCCATCCTTTGTCCTCTTTGCAAATATGCTGCATTGACATAAGACCTCAGGATTGTTCTGATGTGCGTTGCTGTGAGTAGTAGTAGCCTGGAGTACCCTTTCATGTGGTTGTAAATAGTTTGCATTTCTTCTTTTGCTGGTTCCTATCCTTTGAGAACTTAGTCATCAGGAAATTAGCCCAGAGCTTCAGCTCTGAGCTATGGGATATCTCATCATCCCCAGATCCCCACCTGTAAAATGGGAGAACAATCTCTAGGAGATTAGACCACTCGCCCAGTGTCACATGACCAGTGGCAGAGGCATTCGGCTCTCTCTGGGTCTCATGGCGGCCTATGGCATAGGGCCATTGAATAAACCCTAGATCTGGAATCAGAGGCCTCTGGTTTAAGTGCCAGCTCTTCCACTTCCATTACATGACCTGGACAAGTCATTTAATCTCTCTGAGCCTCAGTTTCCTTCTCTGTCAAATGAGGGGATTGGAATCTATCATTTCTAAAAGGCTCCTTACTTTGGTTCTCTCTTCCTTCCAGCACATCCTCCACTAAGCTATCAGAGTGGTTTTCCTAAAGTGTAGCCCTGACCTTGTCGCTCCTCTGCTTAGTAAACTCCAATGACTCCTCATTGACTCTAAGACAAATATAAACCCTTGTGTTTGGCATATAAACTCTTCAAACCTGGACTTCTCCTACCTCACCTTTCTAGTCTTCTTACATGTGATTGTCCTGAAGGCCCCTTGCAATCAATCATACTGAACTTCTTGCTATTTGGGGGTGGGGGGTGGGGCAGGCAATTGGGGTTAAATGACTTGCCCAAGGTCACACAGCTAGTATGAACTTCTTGCTGTTTCTCACATAAGGTGCTCCATCTCCCACCTTCATGCCTTTGCACTGGTTGTCCCTCCTGCCTGGAATACGCTCGCTCCTGGAATGTACTCCCTCCTTACTTTTCTGCCTCTTGGAATCACCAGCTTCCTTCAAAACTGAGCTCAAGCACCATCTTCTACCTGAAGCCTTTCCTGATTTCCCTAGCTGCTGGTGCCCTTCCTTTCCATCTTGCATATCTTCTGTTTGTGCTTGTATATGTCCAAGTGGCCTTCTTTACTAGAAGGCAGACTCCTTGAGGGCAGGGAGGATACTTGTCCAAACTTTGCATCTCCCCCAGCACCTAGGACAGGACATTGGACAGGGGCGGGTTGAACCAGTGCTTAACATAGTAAACTGAGCAAATTAGCTGGGCTAAGCGGAAAGAAAGTAGAAACCCAGGAGAGGAAAAGAAAACATGATGGAAATAAAACAAAGGAAGAAGCATCTGAGAGACAGAGCTGAAGGGACTGCAAAGGCTGTTGAGTCTAATCCCTTTGTCTTACAGGTGAGGAAACTGAAGCCCAGGAAGGCTGTGACTTGTTCAAGCTCACACAGGTGGTAATCATGGGAGAGGAGGCAGTGGGATATAGTAGAAAGGATAATGGCTTTGGAGTCAGAAGACCTGGGTTCGAATCCTGGCTTTGCCATTTATCATCTGTGGGATGGACAAATAACACAACCTCTCTGGGCTTCATTTTCCTTGGAGCAGAGGCTTCTAAGACAGCCTCTGAGTCTTCTTCCAGTTCTGAATCTATGTTGTTATGTTCTTGGTGAGGTGCTTTTTTTTTTGTTTTGTGTTTTTGTTTTTTCAAGGCAGTGTGGTTCAATGGAAAGAGCTGGGTTTGGAGTGATGAACTCAGAATTACAGCGCATGGGTTAGAATTCTGGCTCTTCTGTGGATTGGTTAGGTGATCTTGATAAGTTGTTTCCTCTCACTGGGCCTCAGTGTTCCTTTCTGTAAAATGACAGGGCTGCCCACAGTGATCTCTGAGGTCTGTTCCAAGCTCTAAACCCGTGATCCCATGAGGATGGCCAAGGTTTGCACCCAGGAGCTGCTATGAGTGTAACTCGCCATAGAGTAACGGTGAGCTATAATTATCCTTTCCCTTTCTCTCTCCACAACACCCCTCCCAGTTGTTCTATTTCTCTCTGTTCTCCTTCTCTCTCTCTTTTCTTTGTCTCTCAACACTTTGTTTCTATTTCAGTGTTTCCTTTAGACTGGTGGTAAGAAGGTAAAGCCTCTTTTCATCTCAGGATACCAGAATCACTTCGAACTGGTAAACAGCTGAAGGATGTGGTAGGAGAGGAATTTTCCACTGAGGTGGGTTTGAACTTGTCCCTTCCCTGTTGGGTCCCCCCTCATCCCACCGAAACTTGGTCTTCTTGGCTCCCTTCCCCAGGAGGCAGGAGGCCGGGATGAGCTGCTAGGGCAAGGGAGCCATGCTGGGAGCCACAGTCCCACTGTTGCCCAGCCCGGGAATCAGGGGAAGGCCCTCTCGAGGGCCGGAAATGGAAAGCCACAGATGGAGCTGATAGGGCAAATGAGTGATGGCATTGCTATGATAGACATCAGAGCTGAGGCTTCCAGTGGAAAAGGTCACCTCCGCTGCTTGCTTGTGGTGGGGTGCATGCCGTCATATCCTCGGGAGGGACCATAGGCTGGGATGATGTCTACCCAGACCAAGAGAGTGGAGCTTGAGGGAGATGGCCATTGGCCAAATGGTGCAGAGGCCACATGCCAGTCTACACAAGCCACCACTGTCGCAATCTGATGTTCCAGTGGTCTTGAAAGTAGCTATCAGGTCGGTCCATTCCAAAATGTAGGATTTTAAGGGAAGATACATTTTTTCACATTGAAATACTCAGAAAAGTGACCACAATAATCACTGAAAATAACCATGTCTTTTGGGCTGTGAGCTTAAGTAATGTTTTCCTCATAATAGCCAAATGAGGCAGGTGATACAAGGATTATTTCCCCCATTTTATAGATGGGAAAATAGAGCTCAGAAGACACATCTCCTGCCCTATGTTATAGAGCCAGGGCATCACATGCCATGCCATTCCAGAGCAAGCATAGTGCCAGGCACATAGTAGGTGCTTAATAAATGCTGCTTCACTGATTTACTGCTTGAGAGCATCAGATCAAAGACTCTTGGTTCCAGCTCCCGACGTCTCTCCTGCTATCACGTTACCTTTCATCTTCATGGTCACCCTGCCCCCCATAATGGTCATGCCTCTCTTGTTCCCACTGACCGTGAAAGCCAAACAGAGTGGATCACCCTGGGTGTCTTCACAACAGGAGCAGGGTGGTGGAGTTGGAAGGACATTGGATCAAAAAACGATCATCTGGCTCCAATTCTGGCCATTACTTAAGGCTTGTGTGGCCTTAGGTAAACATTAATGCCTTGGTGGAAGGTTTACTTTTCCTCTCACTAGACCTTAATTTCTTCATTTGTAAAACAAAAGGCTTGGTCTTGGGCCCCTTCTTACTCTGGATTTTATAATCCTTGCCCTCAGCTGAGTAGATTTCCTTCTCTTTTTTTAAATATAAATTTATTTATTTTTAATTTTCAACATTTACTTCTACTAGTTTTTGAGTTCCAAATTTTCACCCCATCTCACCCCTCCCCCCACCCCAAGATGGCATGCATTCTGAATATCCCTTCCCTAGTCTGTCCTCTCTTCTATCTCTCCCCCCTTCTCTTATCCCCTTCCCCTTCTATTTTCCTGTAGGGCAGGATAGATTTCTATACCCCATCTCCTGTATTTCTTATTTCCCAGTAGCATGTGAAAACATTTTTTAAAAAACATATGTTTTTAAAACTTTAGGTTTCAAATTTTCTCTCTTCCGCCCTCCCCACCCTCATTGAAAAGGCAAACAACTCAATATAGGTTATACATGTGCAGTTATGCAAAACACGTCCATAGTAGCCATGTTGTGAAAAACTAACTCTATTTCCTTGGATACTATCCTATCCTCCCATTTATTCTATTCTTTCTTTTGACCCTGTCCCTCCTCAGAAGTATTTCCTTCTGATTACCCCCTTTCCCAATCTGCCCTCCTCTCTACCATCCCCCTGCTCTCTTGTCCCCTTCTCCCCCTATTTTCCTGTGGGGTAAGACAGATATCCATACCCAATTGAATGTGTATGTTATTCCCTCCTTAAGCCATAGATCTCCTTCTTTAAAAGAGAGACTATTAAAAAAAATAATAAATTTAAAAAGAGACAATTAAATGGAAGAATTGCTTTGGTGTGCCCTAGAAGAAGGGTGAGAGTCATCCAATCCATTCTCCTGCCTCTAGGAAGGTTGGTGCTTCATCAGCAATAGATGTTTGATGATTTTTTTTCCAATCGAATGAGAGATTTATTACTTGACAGTGATGAACAATACTGCGAATACGTCTGAGTGTAAAGGCAATCCAAATATTGATTGTAGCTGTATTGTTGATCAGGTTGTGCTGTCCAGTGCCGATAGGACGTGTATGTGAAGATGACAGCTCATAGATAAAGGCCATGTGGTTGCAGGCTTTTCACAGATCTTATAAAGTCTCCTTCCGTAGGAATGAAAATGGGTTGGGTCCCTTTGGGCAACTGATCAATGAATGTTGCCCATAATGAGAAGCAGGGCAACCTGGTCAATAAGGCTGACCTTGAGGTCAGGAATATCTGGGTTCAAATCTGCCCCCCACACTTATGAGATGGGTGACCCTGGGCAAACCACTCGTACCCTAAGCCTCAGTTTCCTCATCTGTAAAATGAGGATAAAAATACTTAGACTGTCAGACTGAGAGTCTCATTACAGATCTCAGAGTGTCAGAGCTGGAAGGGAGCTTGGGGCATCAGGCTCAATCTGTATGTCACTGACTGACCCTGGGCCTCACCTCACCTATTTCCCCACCTGTAAAACGTTGGATTACATTGGACAAGATGGCCTCCAAGCTCCCTTCCAACTCCAGATGTAGGATGCTGCGAAGAATAATGCCTTTTGTAAAACACCAGACGAGTCTCATCTGGCCTCTGCTTAAAGACCCCTAGGAAGGGGAAACCTGTTGGGGGAAGGGAAGGTAGCAAGCCTACTATGGAGCACCTACTATGTGCCAGGACTACTAGAGAGTGCCTACTATGTGCTGGTCATGACACTGAGTGCTTTACAAATAGTATCTCTCTTGATCCTCACAACAATCCTGGGAGATAGGTGTTCTCAATATTCTGATTTTACAGATGAGGAAACTGAAGCAAACTGAAGTTAAGTAACTTGCCTGGGGTCACCCAGGTACGAAGTGTCTGAGGCAGCATTTGAACACAGGTCTCCTTGGCTCCAGGCCCAGTGTTCTAGCCACTGAACTACCCAGCTACCTCTTATCTCCTAAGGCAGCCCACTTCACTCGTGGAGAGCTCTTATCATTAATGTTTGCTTGGCTCAAGTGCTAATGTGCCTCTTTTTCATGTCCCAATATTTCTCTTAGTTCTGGGGTCAAGCAGTTTAATTCTATTCCTTCCTTCCTTCCTTCCTTCTTTCCTTCCTTCCTTCCTTCCTTCCTTCCTTCCTTCCTTCCTTCCTTCCCTTCCTTCCTTCCTTCCTTCCTTCCATCTAGCATAGAAGGGGGAGGTTAGGGGAGGGAAGACTGTCATAGGCTGTGTAGATGGTATTAAAGACAAAAGATATTATTAACAATGTATTTCACAAAATAGTGCACTAAGGACCTTGGAGAGAGGCTGCTTCGGTCAGATGTTGAGGACCAGACTACAAACCAAGGGGCTGAGAAGTGAGTGGGAGGTAAGAAAACAGAGGCAATGAATGTAAATAGGGTCCAATGAGATAATCATTGTAAAGCACTTAGCAAGGTGCCTGGCACAAGGTAAGAGCTAGATGAATGTTAATTATTGTTATTAATTACTATTAAATAGAGGTTCTTGGGAGAGATAGGGGGCAATATGGTACAATGGGAAAAACGCTGTGGCTGGAGTCAAAGGACCTGGCTTCATTTTCTAGCTTTGCTCGTCATTTTTTACCCATGTGACCTTAGGCTAATTACTTAACCTCTCTGCGCCTCAGTTTCTTCATCTGTAAAAGGGAGGAGGTGTACTAGTTAGACTTACCATCCCATGAAGCTCTAAGTCTCTGATCCCTGATTTGATGAGTCTGAGATGTAGGACAATAACTTAGTAGGGACAAGTAAACACTTTTCAAAGAAGGGGGAGATTTGGGCAGGTTTGTAGGTAGTAGGCAATGACCTAATGGATAAGTAGATGGTGAAGATTTCATTCCCCACACAAGAAGATTGAAGAGTTGATGGAAAGGACAAGCAGAGGGTGAAGAAGAGAGAGGTTGAGGAAATGATGGAAAGGGCAAGCTGTCAGAGGAGATGGGAAGGGGTGGGATCTAGGTCTCAGGTAGAGTACTTGGTTTGGTGAGGGAACACCCTTCTGCCCTTTGTCCCTACACCCCCCCCCCCCGGAGGTTCCAGAACTTATCTAGAAAGGCCAGAAGGCAGGAAGACCTATCATTGGGCACCATCCCCCTTTGCCTTCTCCCTTCATGCCCTTCCTTTCTTGACCAGGGACCCTTAGGGACCCACTGAAGCTCCTTGACTGCTCATACAGCTTGGAGGAGGTGGGAGTCACCAATTCTATTCCTTCTGGGGAGCTGGAGGACCACCAGGTCTTATCATCTGCCCTGTCTCTTGGACCAACAGAGCCCCTGGCACTGACATAAGTTAAGTTCTCCCTTCCTCCCATGAGACCTGCTGTCTGCCCCGCAGCTGCACTCTTAGAGCTCCCAGATCTTTTCAGTAGCCCTGCCATTGAGCTTTCTTTTATGTCTTGTCTTGTCTTCTCCAGTTACAGCCCGAGTTCCTCACTAGCAGGGAGAGCAGGAACCATTTCCTCTTGTCTCTCTGCAGCCCCAGCACTCAGCACAGTGCTTGACACAGAGTAAATCTTAATACACATTTTTCTACTCATTCAAGAGGGCATTCATAAGGGATGGCTTTAGTTTTTTCAGCTAAGTGTGAGATGAAATCCTTTCTGACAAGAAGACTTGAAGAGAGAAGAGGCAGGTTGGAGAAGCCACTGAGGGGACAATAGAGCTAATCCCAGGAGAAATAAAGGGGTAGCCAGAAGCCCCCTTGAGATAAGATAGCATAAATTCATCATTGTCCCTATTAGCAAAATTTTATGACTTCCTCCTGGAGCATTCAAGTAGGAGCAGACATGAGATTAGGTAACTTGACTAGTTTCACACAGGAAATAAACACCACTGTCAGAATTTGAATCCAGACCCCTCTGGTTCCAAAAATATTACTGCCTGCTACCTGCCATGTTAGAGGTCCTTGTTCTTGAGCTCTGGGTCACATCACATTAAAATAAAATATATCAAATCTATATTGAGTGAGACAATCTATGCAAAGCACTTTGTAACCCTTAAAGCATGACAGATAGATGATAGATATGAATAGATGATGACCATAATAATGATAGAAAATGGATAGAGATAAATGATAAATATACATAGATAGATAGATAGATGATAGATAGATAGATAGATAGATAGATAGATAGATGATGATATAGAAATAGAAAGGTGATAGAGATAGATAACAGATAGAGATAGGTGGTAGATGTAGATGATGATGATGATAGACAGATAGATAGATAGATAGATAGATATCAGACAGGGATAGAAATAGATGATAGATATATAGAGATGGTTAATGGATAAATAGATGATAGATGTATTGACGCAGAGATAGATGATAGATCATGGATAGAGACAGATAGATGGATGGATAGATAGATATAAATCATCCTTGTGATTTCATTGATATATAGAGTTTCCATGAGGAAACTTCCTCTCCCAACGGTTAGACATCTACTCTGCAGCTTAGGGAATCTTGGATCATTGCCCAAAGCACTGGAAGGTTGTGACTTGCCCATGGTCACACAGTCATGGTATGTCAGAGACTTGAACTCAAGTTTTCCTTATTTTGAGACTGGCTCTCTATTCACTATTCCCCTCCCAGTGATAGTAATAACAACAACAACAACAACAACAATAATAATAGTGATAATATATTTTAACCAGTTGGGGATATCAGTGGTATAGGGAAATCCCTGGATGAGGAAATGTCCTCCACCAATGTGAGTCAGCCCTGATCTTTGATTTACAGGATCAGACAACTGCCTGTGATGCTGGGAAGTTAAGGGACTTGCCCAGGGTCACACATCCAGCCTGTGTCAGAGGCAGGACATGAATCTAGATCTCTCCAACTCAGAGGGCAGCTCCCTGTTCCCTCTGTCACATTGCCTCCCATGTAAATGTCAGCTGTTATTATATAAATAAGTTTGCAGCAAATAAAAAAGAAATCCTACAAGCCTGTGGCTCACTGGTTTGTGAAAGTGCCAATATTTGGTGGGTAAACAATCCTGTCCTGCGTTCCAAAGACTCTCTCTCTTGCACAGATACAGGATATCAACATGGAGTCAGTGCTTTGTGTTTGCACTGAGATAAAGCCAGCATCCCCCAAGGATTGTAGAAATCAGAATGATGGGAAGTACATTATACTTGGTGTCTCTGGGCTCATTGGGGAGGGGCTTCTGGGATGAACGAGGCTGGTCAAGTTCTCACCCACTGACAGGCCGAGGAAGCCCTAGGACAGCCCCCTCAGTTCTCATCTTGCTAAATAGGCTGTTGCCTTACCCCTGGTTGGGTTAGTGGGGAGATAAGCAAGCAAAGAACCAGATGTCTGGGACAGGACAGAACAAACCAACTTCAGAGCCCAACCTGGCAATCTTAGAACAAGAGGCAACATGGTAGTGGGAAAGGGGCTGGATTTGGAGTCAAAGGACCTGGGTTCAAAGCCCACCTTTGCCATTTGCTCCCTGTGTGACTCCGAGGAAGTTACTTAATCTCTCTGGTCCTCATTTGTAAAATGAAGGGGTTGGATCGGATGACCTGTAAATCCTTTTCTAGATTTAAATATATGATCCTCTGAATAGCAGAATTGGAAGGTGGAAACACCTTTGAGATGCCATCATTATAGATGTGGAGCCTGAGACCACAAAGGGCAATTGCTTGTCTAATGTCACACAGCAGGCAGAGCTAGGATTCTAATCCAGGCTCCATGACCTGAGCATTCAGTCTCTGACTTTTTCTTCGAAGCTGCCTCCTAACTCAGAGAGCACCCAGAGGCAATGGTGGGAGAGACCGAGGTAAAGCCAGCCCCATGACCAGCTTGTTATTTGTATGTTCCAAGGTCCCTCCCAGCTGCAGCCTTCTGTTAGTCTGTAAGCTGAGGATGGACCTGAACTGAGCTGTCACCTACAGCCACGCTTCTCCTTCACTGGTATCCTGAGTGCCCCATCTCCCCATGCTGGATCCCTTAAATCCTGCCTTGTCTTATGAGTTACCTTTTCAGGGCTCAGCTCTGTGGAGGCAGGGACGGGGTCTCTTCTTGTGTCCCCTAGAGTGAGGGCTTCCCTTGGAGCTGGACATGCTTCCCTCCTCACTTCTGAATCCCTCCCTCCCCCCCCACTTCTCCAGCTTTCTCCGAGACTCAGCACATGTCCAACCTTCTGCAGCCTCCCCCCTCCCCCAATGCAGGTGACCTCCCTGTAAGGTTACCTTGCATCTACTCTTTTTCTATCTTGTATGTACCTGGTTATTCACACGTCTCCCATTAGAATGAAGTCCTTCAGATCAGAGGCTGTTTTCATGCTTGCCTCTGTATCTCCATCATTAGTAACATGCTCGGCCCGTTATAAACATTAATAAAAGCTTGTTGACTGACATAACGAGTAAATCATAATGACTTACTCGCTAGTCAATTGATTACTTGACAGAGTGATTGCCCCAGTATCTTGCTATTGGAAAAAAGCCAAAATGATTCCCTAGAGTCAGTCCTTTGTAAGAAATTTTGATGGGCCAGTGATAATACTATAGCCTTTGCTGCAAGCCTTTGGGTCATAAAGAATGTTATCAGAGCACTGGAGCCTGGGAACATAGAAAGTCAGAGCAGAAAGGAACCTGGGAACATAGAATGTCAGAGGAGAGGAACCTGGGAGCACACATGGAATGTCAGAGCAGATAAACATGGGAGCATAGAATGTTAGAGCTGAAAGAGACCTTAGAACATAGAAGACAATTTCAAAACTGGAAACTGGAAACTTAGAACACAGAACATATAGACTATTAGAACTGAAAGGGACCTTGGCACACTGGGAACCAGGAAGGAACTTAGAACAGAGAACAGCAGAGCTAGAAGGGCCTTTAGAACATAGACTACATAAAACGTAGAATGTGAATACTGGGAGGGAACTCAAGGGTCATCCAGGCCAACTCCTTCATTTTACATGTGGGGAAACATGTCCACAGAGGGGGGAAGTGAGGAGTTAGTTTGTAGACATTCATTTTCCCAGAAAACCTGATCAACACAGATCAGATGCATTTGTTTCTTTATTAAGGTCTAAAGGCATAGCCGCTATGGTGGTCATTTCAGAAAGGGGGCTAGACAACAGGAGAGAGATGTGTAAGTCTTGGTAGCATCAAACGTGGGGGTCTCTTGGGGCCCAGCCCATAGGGAAACCCCCTTTCGAAGTCACTGCTAGGGATCTCCAGGTTAGAGCCACCCTGGGTGCTTCTGTTCAACTCAGAACCTTCCACAGGTGTCTCTCCCATTCCACCCCCCACTGCCTGCAATGGAAATAAAGCTGGGAGAAAATCCGGCTGGTGTAGAAGGCAGGAATGGGTGCGACCAGGCTAGATCTGGTTGGCCACTAGATGGCAGTCACAGTGGTTTCTTGCTCATCTTCTAACTTCAGCAGGTGGGGATATGTATGTGATCAGAGTCTCTTTGACTGCATAGTGCCTAGTGTCCTTGAACCCCCTCCCCAGGCGCCACCCTCTCCCTAGACTCCCCCTCTAGCTCTTCTACTAGAGACTGGGTAAATCATTGATAAATCAAGCATTAAAGGTCTCCCCCCGAATCCTTTAATCACGCTCCCTTACTCTACATACACAGACCACACTAGCCATGCCCTCCGCAGACCCCTATCCCTGCAGATGCAGGCAGGCTCACAAAGAGCCCCACCCCACCCCCGCCCCAGACTAGTGTGGAGTCTTGTACCTGGGCACAGGAGCTGCTCCTTCCTTCCCTCTCCCTCTTCAGTAATCACTCAGCCCCTGCCTCCGGGAACGGGGTCAAAGAGCCCTGGGGATGGTGTTGGGGAGGAGCCAGGAAGTAACCATATCCTGCGACGGTTATGAGGAGGGTGCTAGCTGCTTCTGTGGACAGGTGAGAGGAAAACACAGCACTGACCCTGCCCTCCTATGGGAACCCCAAGCTGGGTCCCTTAGGGGTCACTCTGTGGCCAGGCTCATCACTGCAGGCTCCAGCCACCCCTGTGGAGCAAGGAGAGGGCACTGAACCCCAAGAAGACAATCTCTGGGGATTGTTGTCTTCCGCCTCCCCAATTTAACCTGTATCTGAGGGAGGAAATGCTTCGTCTCATCCTTTGCTCATTCTTGGTATGGCTGTCCTTGGGAACATTTGGTTCATATGGAATCAGAGAACACAGAACCGTCAGAGCCAGGAAGGACCTTAGAACAGAGAACAGAGAATATCAGGGTTGGGTGAGACTTCAGGTTGTAGAGTAGAGAATGGCAGAGCTTGAAAAGATCTTAGCATATAGAACAGAAAACGTCAAAGCTGGAAAGGCTTTAGAATACAGGAAAGAATGTTGGGGCTGGGAGGAAATTTAGAGCATAGTACATAGAACCAGAGCTGGAAAGGACTTCAGAACATAAAACAGAATGTCAGAGGTGGAAGGGATGTTAGAGCACGGAATGTCAGGGCTAAGAAGTGCTTCTGGATATAGAATATAGAACAACAGAATGTTAACATGTGACTTGGCTCAGGCAACAAGCTCTTATTAAGCATTTGCCTTGTGCCAGGCACAGCTGCTAGAAATATAAAGAAAAGCACAAATAGTTCCTGCCCTCACAGGGCTTACATTCTAATGAGGCAGGCAACATGTCAAAACTGGGTATATAGACAAACTAGATACAGAATAGCTGCCCTCTCAGAGGGAAGACACTAGTAGCTGGAGTGTGGGGGAAGGCTCTTGCGAAAGGGAGGATTTGACCTGAGTCTTGAGAGAACCCAGGGAATCTAAGAAGTGAAGGTGAGAAGAGGGAAAGAGAGAGAGGGAGAGTTCTAAAGAGGGAAGTATTAGAGGGAAGGAGGAAATGATGAGTTCTGTTCTGGTAATATTGAGTTTGAGATGTCTTTTTTTTTTTTAAGGCAATTGGGGTTAAGTGACTTGTCCAAGGTCACACAGCTATTAAGTGTCAAGAGTTTGGTCTGAGACCGGATTTGAACTCAGGTCCTCCTGACTTCAGGGCCCGGTACTCTATCCACTGCTCCACCTAGCTACCCCTTGAAATGTCTTTTTGTCCAGGTCCAAGGGACCAGACATGGGACTGTAGCTCAGAAGATTAGGCTATAAGCTCCGTGAGGGCAGGGCTCCTGTCTGATATATTAAACAGCTTTGTGTCTCCTCTTGTATCTACCACAGTACTGGCTACATTGTAGACACTAAAGTCCATCATGGACCACAGGAGTCCTTTCCTGACCCTCTCATGTCTGCCATCTCTCACCCTGGAAATTGCTTCATATACATTTTGCACATTTATTTGTGTACTTCTTTCTTCCAGTGGAATGCAGATCCACTGAGGTCTGGGATTGTTAACATTTTGGCCTGGTGTTGCCTGAGCTTGGCACAGTGCTTGCCATGTAGGCACTTAATAAAAGCTGAATGAATGAGGAAGCTCTCTGTGTTTGGTTTGATTGGACAGCTGGTGATGGAAGCCTTTGAATGGATGCTTCTCTATGAGTAGCCATGGATCTAAAGGAAGATCTTTCTTCCCTCCAGGCCCAGACTGAAGCAAAGTTTATCTCCTTCCTGGGGAAGGGGGAAGAGGAAAACCAAGGTCATGGTGTTCGCCTTGGCAGAACACGCACTGGGGCGGGGGCTTGGAGCACAGTCAAGGACATCTGCCTAGCTGCAAGCTGGTGCAGAAAGGTTCCTCAGACTTCTTGTCCCCCAGAGGGAAGGGGGTTTTGTTTTTTTTTAAATATATGAACTTTGCCAGTGAAATTAGAAAGCACAGTGCCTTGTGGACAATTACAATGCTTTATGATGCTGCTGATGGGGTTACTCTCTTTACCACCTCTGAGTTCCAGCTCTCTGGAGCTGCTGTGGCTGGAGAACCCATCACTCTTCCATCCCCACTCCACCCCACCCCCCGGCAAACCTGGTGACTAGCCTTTCTGAACTGAGCTGGGCAGATCCTGTGATAAGACACTAGGTCTCTCAGCCCTCCTTGGACTCAACACCTTGCTAGTCTGGAAGGGCTGGAGGGAGCTGATGTTCTGATGGACCATCCTTTGAGAGTCCAGAGTCACCTTCATGTTCTGACAAAGCTCTGGAGAAAGCCTTCAAGGGAGGTCTGACACACAGACCATGCTTATTCAGTGTTTACTGAAATGAATCGCATACTCCCAGCATGAAGGAGAAAAACTCCCATTGATGTCACCCCAATAGTCTGACTTTTCCAGAAGGGTCCTTGGAATAGAGTCCTAGGAAGCAGGGTCACTTTTCACCAAATGAGGTAAAAGCCCAGAACTTAAGAGCATTCCAGGCAACAGCCATCATTTGCCCTGGCTCAGTGCTTTGCACATAGTAGGCACTTCATGAATATTTGTGGAATTCAGTTGTTGAAATCTCCATGTATCTGTTGAGTAACAATTGGGGGAATGTGGGCAGTGTGGAATCTCATTTTTCCATCTCATTATACATTAGTTCCCTTCACATACTCTGGTGCAGTCTGTTACTTGAATATGACTCTATTTCCAAAAAAAGGACTATATTTCCCATCTCTGTACCTTTGCACTGGCAGTTTCCCCTGCCTGGCATGCCCTCCTCTTCATCTCTACTTCTTAGATTCCCTGTCTTCCTTCAAGACTCATCTCAAATCCCACCTTCTGCAGGAGGCTGTTTCTGTCCTGCCGCCAGCTCCTCTCAGTTTACCCTTATGTATTCTGTGTGGACCTTGTATATAACCAGGTATTTCCATATTGTCCCCCCCAATTACAATGTAAGCCCCTTGAGGGTGAGGACTCTGTATGTAGGAATGGGGTTTTTTGGTCTTCCTTTGCATCTCTGGTGCTTTGCACACATTAAGCACTTAATAAATGTTTGTTGGCTGCCTCACCTCTGCATCTTAAAAGCCATTGTTTACTTCCAGACTTAGTTACAATGACAAGATGACAATTTCTATGGAGGCCTTTCTCTATCCCTGGCAGTTATCATTGTCCTGTCTCTCAAATGAGTGATTCACATACATGTAATATGTGTGTGTATTTCTATATGTGTCTGTATATACACATCCACATGCCTGTTGTGTGATAGAATATAAACTCTCTGAGGACAGGCAGAGGTTCACTTTTGTCTTTGACTCCAGTGCTCGGCACAGTGCCTCTTGCACACAGTAGAGACTTATTAAGTGATCATCGATTAACTGATATCTCTCTTGTTTGGGAAACCCACTCATAGTCCCACTGACCCCTGTCCAAGGGCTGACCCCATTACAATTGCAGAGTTTCTTGATCTTAAACCCTCACATTGACTTCACACTCCACTTTTTTGCTTAGAAAGCTCATTTATTTTTAGGGTAGTCAGGAATGAGTGACTCAGTCTCTTCTCCTGATTCTCTGGGACTCAATCCAGGGATTGAGGGAAAACTATGGACAATGGTCATTTCTCTGGAAGCTACATTCTTTTTTTTTTTTACCAATGGGAAAATAAAACTGACCTCTGCAAGTCTCATCTAGAGGGGGATGGGAAGGAATTGTGGGTTCCTGTTTCACCCTTCCTCCATCAGCATCCACTTGAATGTATCTTCTGGCCCAGGCACATGGCCCCTGCTTCTTGGGAACTGACAGTGTGCTGGGGAGAAGCAGTCTCTCTCCAGGTACGAGACAAGGTCTCCACTGGAAGCACTGGTGCCTCCTGGGATTCCCAGGGATGGTGCCCTGAGGAACTCCCCATAGGTCTGGCTCCTGCTATGGCTTCTGCCGTGCTTAGCAGGTACTATTATAATAGGGAGGTTGGGAAAGCCTTGGGCAGAGGGCAACAGTCAGCATCTTAGCAATGATACAGTATAGGATTTTGAGCTCAAAGGGATATTCTAGATCATCTAGTTCAATCCCCCTTTTTGATGAGAAGACTGAGGCTCAGAGAGAAGTGACTTGCCCAAGGGCCTGTAGATAGTAGCAGAGCCAGGATCCAACCCCAGGTCCTCTTTTTCAAAATCAAGCCCTTGTCCTGTGATACTATGGGGACAACTTGAGGGCAACCCGCCTGAGAATGAAGACCTCCCTAATCAGTGAGGGGCATGCTGGCAAGGGCAAGGGGGCCCCGTGAGGACCAGCTGAAGGAACTTGGGGTATTTACATTTGACAAAAGAAGACACAGAGGACATGAAAAGTCTCTTCAATGTCACAGGGTAGAAGGATTGTTCTGCTTGGCTCTAGAGGATGGAATGAGGAGCAGTGGTGATGGAAGCGTGGGGCTGGGGTCAGAGGGCCAGATTTAGGCTTGATGTCTGGAGGAACTTCATAGCAAGTTGAGCTGTCCAAAAGTGGAACGGGCCATCTCAGAAGATAACAGGTTTCCCCCCACTGGAGACCGTCAAGGGGAGGCTACACGACCATTTGTTGGCAATGTCATAGGAAGGATTTTTGGTGAAGTCTGTGTCAGAGAAGATGGCTGCTGAGGCTCCTTCCAGACCTGGGATTCTCCTCCCATCATCCAGAGCACAGGCATAGGTTTGTAGGGTCAAGACATATTAGCTAATGTTAATTGGTTTGAGGGTCAGGAATTGCAGGGTGGAGACTGTTTAGCTCAGGGTAGGGAATGGGATTTTTTGCTCCAAATTGGTAGATTCCCAGAACTGAATCCGTATGGTTTTGTGGCTCTGGGTGATCTAGGAGGGAAGGTAGGAAGGCAGGAATGGGAGGCAGGTGACGCAGTAATCCACAGGTATCCTTCCTTCTCTCTCTCTGGGTCTTGCTCTATGAAGCTCCAATGTCATCATAATCTTCGCTAGATGAATCATCTTCATGACTACCCATCACTGCTGTGGTAGGTGGCTCTGCCCAATCCAGAACATGTAGATGGCAAACACACTTCATACCGTGATCCCCTTGCCTCCTCTGGCTCCCAGAGCTCCAATATGTTAGATAAGACCCCAAAATACAACCCCTTGTGGTCCCTATCTCCAATGCCCAACCACCCTAGTGAATTTTCTCTAGGACAAGATGATTAATATCGTGAATTCCTGAGCTCAGGGAATAACTCAAGCCCTCCCCCGCTCAGGAACACAGCCACTGACAAGGACATGGGGAAGGCTCGACTTTGTGCCCCAAACAATATCACAGATTTGGAACTGGAAAGGACCTTAGAGGTCCATGGAGTCCAACTCCTTCATTTTACAGAGGAGGAAACTGAGCCCCTAAAAGGAGAAGGGACCTTAGAGACTAATCCAATCCTCTCATTTTACAAATGAGGAAACTGAGGCCAGAGAAGTTATGGTACTTGTCAACAGCCACAGAGGTAAGTAAGCAGCAGAGCTGGGATCTGAAATTCAGTCCTCCAGCTCCAGAGCCTTCTTCTGCACTGCCTAGCCCATCAAGCCAGCCCTGCCCCTCTAAGATGGAGTCCCAAATCACAGAATCAGGACCAGAGAATCAACTCCAAAGCAAAGGCTCTTGTCTCCACACCTCTTGGTGAGAGAAACAAAAGGACCACCAGGACATGCTAGACAGGCCCAGAGCCTGGACTGCTGGATTTGGAGCCAGGATAGACCTGAACTCAAATCCTGCTCAGAATTCACTAGCTATGTGACCTTGGGCAAGTCACTTAACCTTTCTCAGCCTCAGTAAAATGATGATAATAAGTGCACCTACCTCCCAGGGTTGTTGTGAGGGTCAAATACTTTGCAAACCTTAAAGCACTATATAAATGCTGTTATTGTTGTTATTATTATTAATAAGACTCCCTGCCTCAAATACACATACACACACATCCCTCTCTCTGCCCTGGGTTCATCCACCCAAACCGAACATGCCAACCTGCCTGCCTGCTCCCCATGCACCCCTTGCGTGTTTCACTTTCTTCTTTCCCCTCTATTACCTGGACACATAAAGGGCAGGGTAGGAGGCTCCTGAGATGAGCCAAAATTCTCATAGCACTCCCCAGAGGAGGTGCTGGAGCTGTCCTCGGCCGCTGGTCCTGCTGAAACGACTCTAGAGTGGCTTCCTGCAAGGGAACCGGAAACAAAGGAAGACCTCTTTCTGACTGGGACTTGGTCATAGGGCCCTTGGCCTCAGGGGGCAAAATCAGAATCACTGGGGGAGAGTGGCAGAGGCACATTTGGGCTCAGCAGAAGAAATCACTTCCTAACGTTATGCCAGAATCTCCGAAGCCAAGTTGGGAGGGATCTCAGAGATCTTTTTGTCCAACTAGCACCTTAACCAGGACCTTTGGAAGTGGTAGTTCAGCCTCTGAATGCAGACCTCCAGGGATGAGGAACCTAGACCCTCGCAAGGCAGCCCACTGATTCCACTTTGGGGCATCTCTCACTATTGGGAAGTGTCTCCTTATTTTCAGCATGAAACTACATCTCTGCAATTTGGAAATGATTGTTCCTAGTTTTTCCCTCTGGAGTCAAGGAGAATCAGCCTAACCTCTCTTTCATGTGATGGCTTTTTAAATGCTTAGGACCATAGAATCGTAGTTTAGATCTAGAATGGACCTCAGCGCCAACTGGTCCAATCCCCTCATTTTCCAGATGGGGAAATTGAGTCTCAGAGAGGGGCATTAACTTATAAGACCATAAACCCATAGCTAGAAGGGTCCTCACGTACCATCTAGTCTAACCTCATTTTACAGATGATGAAACTGATGTTTAGAGGAAGTAAAATGATTTGGCCCGGGTCTCACAGATCATAAGTAGAAGAGCCAGAATTTGAACTCATGTCTTCCAGACTCCAAAGCCAATGCTCTACCCTCTGTATCACACTGCCTTTTGTGAAGACCACTGCCCTATCCCTCCCCCAAGACTTTTCTTCTCCAGACTAATCCCCCCCTTCCCCCAGGTCTTTCAACTGGTTATCACCAATTAGGTGGTACAGTGGCTAGAGTGCTACTTCTAGAGTCTGGAAGACCTAAGTTCAAATCCTGTCTCAGACACTTTCTACCTAGGCAACTCTGTCTGCTTCAGTTTCCTCATCTGTAAAATGGGATTAATAGAGTAATTATAGTAACTACCTGCCAGGATATCTCATTATCAAATGAGATAATATTTATAAGGCTCTTTGCAAATCTTAAAGCACTATCTAAACACTCCGTATTATTATTAGATGTCTTCACCATCCTGGTCATTCTCATTGTTGCAGGGATACAAATATGTACTGGTCACGCTAGAGGGAACTTCATATGTCACCCAGGAACAAGTCTCATATTTCACAAGAATAAACTAACATCCCATGTGGGGAAGGGACTTCATCTAGCTCCCACAGACTGCCAGGGGTTGGAGCAGGATTAGAATTCAGGCCTCCTGCTCTCTCCTTCAGTTAGAGGCTGGACTCATTGCAGTCACAGGACCCTTTTAGCTCTACAAATTTATAGTTTCATGATTCCCAGGACAGCCCAGGTTCACGCTTTCTCCCAGTCAGATTGTTTTGGGCATAAGTGGGAATAGTTTTATTTATTTTTAATTTAATTTTCTTTTATTTTCATTTCCAAATTCTCTCCCTCCCTCTCTCCCTCCTGTCCTCCTCTACCTATTGAGAAGGCAAGAAAAACAAAGCCATTACAAATATGTATAATCAAACAGTATGAATTACTGCATTGGTCATGTTGAAAGAAAGGAAGGAAGGAAGGAAGGAAGGAAGGAAGGAAGGAAGGAAGGAAGGAAGGAAGAAAGGAAGGAAGAAAAGAACATCTGTTTCAATCTGCCCTCTGAGGCCATCAGCTCCCAATCTGGAGGTGGAGAGCACGTCTTATCACGAGGCCTTTGGAATTGTGGTCCAACCAGATTTTTCAAAAATTAAAACTTTATGGATGCCTCTCTTTTTATTTTTTAAATCAAAGTCTCTCATATGAGAGCTACGTTTTTCCTTCTATTCACTCTGTGAGCCTTCCCTTATAACAACCCCCCCCAAAAAAAAACAGTTAAGCAAAACTAACTAGTACACTGACTATGTCAGGTATGCAACATTCTGTACCCATAGCCCTCTCCTTCTCTCCCCAGGCACCCTCCACCCAGATTTGCTGGAATAAGGGCTCCTCCCCAAGATGAGCTCACCAGGCAGAGTGGCCCGGGAGCCAGCCAGCTCCAGGTTGGGAGGCGGCTCCAGAAGTTTCCTCTCTGAAGAAAAGCCTGGGAAGTTGGATCGAGGCAGCTTGCTGGTGGGACTGTTGCAGTAATCTTCCCCAGAAGAGGTGCTGGATTCACTGTTGTGCCGCGGACAGTTCTGAGAAGCCAGGAGACGGACATCTATAACCGAAGGGGGAACGTTTGTGGGGTTAGACTAGAGGGGAAGGGGAGTCGTTTTACCAGAAGGATGAGCTGCAACAGAAGGGCTTCAAGTTAGACCCCAAAAAGAACCTTCCTTCTGAGATGCCTAGAATTTAGAGGTGGAAAACCCCATGAAGATTAGCTGGTCTACTCTCCCACCCCCATTTTACAGATGGGAAAGTGAGAGCCAGAGAAGTGCCTAATAACTCACACTTCCGTATTTCCCTTTCCTTCCCCAAGCAAGCCAACCAGCTGGGGTCGGGGTTGGGGGAGGGGAAGGCGAGCCCCAACATTTGCTTCATAGCACGAACTGTGTGCCCAATGGACTTGAGTTCTACCCTCCAAGCCAAGCAAAGAGAATGTTACAGCAGTCACAGAAGGGGTGGTGGGTTTCGGAGGGCACATGGTGGACTTGGACGATCGCTGGCCTTGGAATCTGAAGCTCAGGGACCATATCTTGGCTTGGCCATTTCTTATCTCTCTATGACCTTGATCTGGCAAGACCCTTGACCTTTGGAGGGTTTTGGTTGGACTAGGTGACCTTCAAGGTGTTCCAGCTTGGACACCAGGTGGTGGTGTGACATGTAGAGTCTGAAGGGAATCCAGTGCTCCAGGGAGGGTCTGGCTGGGGCATGGAGAGGGGCTGTCACAAGAGGTGGTAAATTCCTCAGAGTGCAAACCTATGATAACTCATATTTAAATGTCACTTTCAGGTTTGCAAAACACTTTACATATATCATCTCATTTCATCCTCACAACAACCATGGGAGATAAGTGCTTTTATTATACCCATTTCATAGATGAGGAAACTAAGGTATACAGAAATTAAGCTAAACTACCAAAAGTCATCTAGGTAGTGCAATGGATAGAGAGCTAGACTTTGAGTCCAGAAGACCTGAGTTCAAATCCAGCCTCAGATACTTACTAGCTGTGTGGATCTGGGCAAACCACCTAACTTCTATCTGCCTCAGTTTCCACATCTGTAAAATGGAGATAATAATAGCACCTACCTCTCAGTTAGCATATATAAAGTGCTTTGCAAATCTTAAGGCACTATATAAATGCTAGCTAGCCTAATAATGACTTACCCAAGGTCACCCAGCCAGGAAGTATCTGAGGCCAGATTTGAACTCAGGCCTTCATGACTTATCAGGAATGTCCCACAGACCCAGATGTGAACTGATAGAGATAGAAGGGCCCTCAGCTGTCTCCTGGACAACTCTCCATGCTATGGAGGAGGAAACTGGAATCAAGCATGGGGCGGCAATGACCCAGGTCGCCCAGGCTAGTGAGCATCAGAGGCAGCATTAGAACTCCGCCTCTGAAACCCATACTCTGCATTTTAGGTCAGGGGCAGGGGAGAGAGGCTCATCCTGCAGGTAAGACCACTCCATAGGTTCCCTACAGCTCTGGAATTCTAGGGTTCAAGACTCCCAGGATGCACCAGTTCCATGCTTCTTCTAACCAGATATTTGAAAAGTAAAGCTTTCTTGTTTGCGCTGCCATCATTTCAGGTACCAGTCATTCCCCTTCGCACTCCTCCAGTGAGCTCTCCCTTACCACAAGGAAAAACAGCTAAGAAAAAGCAGTTGATACAGTGACAGTGTATGTGACATTCTGCACCTATAGACCCCCCCCCCCAAATCTTTCACCTAAAATTGATGGGATAGGGCTTCTCCCTTGTCTAAGCTTACCAGGCAGAGTGGCCCGGGACCCTGCCAGCTCCAGGTTAGGAGGCTGCTCCAGGGACTGGATCCTCTCTGAAGAAAAGCCTGGGAAGTCGGATCGAGGCAGCCTGCTGGTGGGACTGTTGCAGTAACCTTCCCCAGAAGATGTGCTGGACTCACTGCTGTGCCTCTGGTAATTCTGAGAGCTGGGGCAGGGGCATCTGCAATGCAAGGTCAAGATTGGGGGGGTTAGAATAGAGGGGGAGGAGAACTTTTCTGAGAACAGGAAAAGATGACCTGCAGTCAGTCAGTCAGTCAACGAGCATTTTATCAAGAAGACTTTAGGTTAATCTAAAAATGAAGAGACAAATAGACCTTTCTCAGGTCCATAGTGTTTAGAGATCAACTGATCTATCCCCCCAATTACTATTTGGGCAAACTGAGGCCCAGAAAGGAGACCAGTAACAATTCCCACCTGTGCAGTGCTTTAAGGCTTACAGAGCACTTTAAAAACCCAGCCTGTGAAGGGAGCAATCCAGCTGTTTCTGAGGCCCAGAGAATCAAAGCAATTTGTGAAAGGCTATATGGTTAAAAGTGGCACAGCTGAGATCTGAACCCAGGCGTTTTGACTCCAAACCCAAGGCTTTTCCCAGTACTCTAGTCAGCCCCTGCTTACATGGTGGGTTGGTGAGAGAAGCTGCTGCTGGAGCATCTCAGGGTGAGCTGAGTCTCCAAGGGGGTCCTAGTGCCCCTCCCCCACCCATTCACCACGAAAGCTTCCCTCCTCACCCTCCTGCAGCGGGGGCATCCTGAATCTGTTCTGCTGGGCCATGTCCTCAGTCACCCGGTGCTTCTGGGAGTCTGAAAGCAGAGTTCATGATGGGGATGACGTGGGGCCCCAGCAGCTCTACCCTGGGGCAGTGGTGGAGGGCAGAGGGGTCTCAGGGCTCTGCGACCAAGGCTAGTGGGGGTGGGGTTGGAGGATGAGCCCCAGAGATGCTGCAGAACACACTTGGAGTTGGTGAGAGAGACCTGGGTTTGAATCCTGCCTCCCTCTGAAACCTACAGCTGTGTGAACCTGGGTAAGTCACTTCCTCCTGTGAGTCCTAGCTTCCTCATCCGGAGGCTAAGACTGTGAAGGTGACAGAGAGAACTCCCAGTCCATGAAAGGCAGATGTAGGGGGATCCACAGGGCAGTCCTGAGTGAGTGTAGCTGGGGGCAGTTTCCAGTGGCCCCTGGCTGGAGGGAAGGCAGGACGGAGAAGCAGATCTAGAGTCTGGGCCCTGAGTTTGAACCCTGGGTCTGCCATTTCCTCCCTGAGTGACCTTGGACAAGTCACTTCCCTTTTCTGGCCTCATTTCCCTCATCTGTCAAATGAGGGACTCAATGGCCTCTGAGGTCTCTTCCAGTTCTAGATCTCTCATCTTATGAGGGGCCACCCTGTGCCCCTCTGGGAAGGTGGTAGAGAGAGAAAGATACCACCACTGGAGTAGGAGGACCTGGCTCAGAATGTCATTTCCGACACTTGGGACCTAAGGTAAGTCATTGACCCTCCCCAGAACCTCAGTTTCCTCATCTCCAAAAAAAAAGAGGGGGTTGGTCTGTGGCATCAAAGATGCTTCCAGGTTGTGAGTGAAAGGAATCAGCCTCTTGGCACTGTGAGTCCAAGTGTGGCCGCTCTCAGAAGCCCCCTTGGGGATCACTCCTCCACAAGAGATCAGCCACCCTACCTTAAACCCTAGTGTTCTATTTCCCACTTTGCCCCAACCTCAGGGCCCACAAGGAGTGTAGGGGGAGAGGGTTTGGGGAGACCAGGTAGAAGGGGCGTTGGCTGAGGCGGGTGGAGCGGCAGAGAGAGCCTGGGCTCTGAAGGAGCTATCCTTCCCTTCATCCATCTTGCCCTTTGAGTCTCTGTACAGTGGGCTGAGACTCCTAAGGAGGAGGGGGAGGGGAAAGGAAGACTGGGACAGAGACGCTGACGTCACCAGGGAGAAGGAGCAGTCCAGGGAGAGGGAGAATGCCCCTGACAAGGACCTATGCAAATTTGTCCCAGGACCTCAAAGCATTTAGCACCTGTGAACCTATTCCTTCTCCTCCTCTGTGCAAAAACAAGAAAGCTTTCTCCCATTTCACAGAAGGAATAAATGAGGCAGAGAGTGTCTAGGTCTCCCCAGGAGGCAGTGCTAAAACTTAACGGTGGAACCCAGGAGACCCATCTTCCAGCCTGGTGCCCATTTTATTCATCTCAAGCTCCCCAGGCCAAGGAGTCAGGCAGGGAGACACTCACTATAGAAGGTGGAGAGGGGCACTGGGGGCTGGGTGTGGAAATCATAGCGTTCAGAGTCCGAGTCGGAGTCGGAGTCCTTTGAGGGCGGGGCTTTCACGTGCAGGGAGGGCTTGGGTGCTGGGAAGAAAACAACAGAGTCAGGAAAGAAAGAGGGGGGAGGCAGATGGGCTAGTGCTTCAGAAAGACCGTTAGATTCAACACCATCCAGTGTGCGTTTATCAAATGCCTGCTGTGAGCCTGGCACTGTGCTGGGCACTGGGGAGACCAAGACAGAATAGAAATGGAAGCCCCCAAGAAGCCTGCGGGTCATTGGTTAGTGGCAAGGACCTGCTGACGTGGTGGGAAAGCATTGCATTTGAGCTCAGGACAAAGGTTCAAACCCAACCTCTGTTCTTACTACCTGTGGGACCTGGGGAAGGCCATCTATCCCCTATGGACTGTGGCTTCCCCAGCTGTAAAATGAGGGGGATGGGCTACCTCTAAGTCCTATGAGAAGAGAGGGGGAAGGTGTGCCAAAGAGGGCGCAGGGAACGTAGACCAAGAGCCAGAAGGGACCTTAGAAGTCACTTGGTTCTCATTTTATAGATGAGGGAACTGGAGTCAAACAACTTGCCCCAGGGCTCACAGGTAACGACTGAGGCAGGATTTGAACCCAGGCCCTTTCCACTGTACCATGAAGAAAGCAAAAGAAGAGAAAGCCAGGAAGGGAATAGGGAGTAGGGAGTGGGAGCCAGGAGGATCGGGAGTTGGTAGGGAGCTGATCGGCTGGTCCACTTGAGTGGTGACATTGCCACAAATGCCCTAGTCAATCAGCACAGTAAGTATTTGCTCTGGGAACAAAAGATTGCCCCTTCATGCCATGAGATGGATACTCTACACTCTCTTCCAGCACCTGGCTCCAGGAGCTGGCTTCCGAGCCCAGGGAAGCCGACGCTTCCTCAGGGACGAACGCTGCCTGCCCCATCCCCAGGCTCCAGCCCTCCAACCTCAAGGGGGATGGAATTCTACCTTCCTCTTTGGGGATGATGATAGAGACCTCCTGGTAGCTATTGTTGCCTCCGAGGGTGGCCGTGGATGTCCGCTGATTATGATTTTCCATGGTTGGGAGTGCTGAGGGTGGCGAGACACATAAGTAGTGGAAAGAGTTTGGGATTAAGAGTCTGAAGGCCTGGCTTCTGGTCTCAGGCTCCAGCCCTCACTAGCTTTGTGACTTTGGGCAAGTTATTTTTGCCTCTGGGCCTCAGTTTACCCAATTTGCTCCAGTGCTGTCAGGGGGTAAGCAGGCTAATCTCATACCCATCCTGGGAGAGCACATTCCTAGGGACTGACAGTGTACAGGACACTTACCATACTTTCCTTTAGCCTTCAGAAAGATGAAAGTCAGAGCAATGAGGGACACCAGGAGGAGAATTCCTAGGATGATGCAGAAGATGAGGAGGAGCTGCTCCCGAAGCTCCTTCTTTTGCATTCCAATGGGCACAAAGGATGCTACAAGCAATAGGTCCCATGTGAGTGAAGAGAAGAATATGTCGAAACTCAGGCCTCAGAGCTGGAAGGGACCCTGGAATGCTGACTGCCGGCCGCGGCTGAAATGGGCCACCCAAGTAGCCCTGGTCCAGAATCTTTATTTGCCTGCAAGGCTCCATCCAGGAGCCACCTTCTCCATGAAGGCTTCCTGGAGCCCCCTGGCTAAAGCTTGCTCCCTCCTCAGGTTAGGGGTTTCTGGGGGTCAGGAGTATTCTTAGTTTTGTCTTTCTCTCTTTAGCACCTGACACCCAGGAGTGTCCCTGAGAGAAGATGCATGCCTCCCCTCCGTTCCCAGCCAGCCCTGGAGATTGGAGATCCCTTCTTGGAAGACTCACCTGTTGTGGGTAACTGAGGACTTGAGGAGGTCTTGGGAATCAGTGACATATTAAAGGTCCGAGAGCCTGGCAGAGAGAGACCAAAGAGAGAACGTTCATGTCAACAACCAAACTGGGGCCCTTGGAGGGGGAAGAGACAGATAACGAAAGGCTGGGAGAATATGGCAGAGGCATGGAGTACGTTGCAGAGAGGATGAGGAGACATCGGGGCTAGGAGGTATGTGGTCTGAGAAGCAGTCCCAAAGAAGGGGTAGCTGGCCTGTCCTCCTCCTTCCGACCCATTCCCACTGCTACTAAGGGATGGCTGAGTGGTGATGGTGGCAGCAGCAGCCATGATTCTACACCTGCTGGCAATGCCTTTGACACTGGGAGGAGGTAAAATGAAGCTGGGGTACAAGGGGATGCTTGGGGTACTCCAGTGAAAAGAACACTGGGCCACAGACCCAGGCCATTCCGTCCCCTGAGGGCCAGCCAGAGTTGTGAGTGGCTCCTCAGCAGGTGAAGTGCAGAAGAATGAATTTCCCACCCCAGCAACACTCTGAGGCCATCTGCTAGGTCACTGGGGCTCCCTGTCTGCGGCAGCAGAGGGAGAACTCTGGCCAAGGAATCAAAGGCCCTTAGGTGTTGCTGTTCTGCCCCCAGCGCCTTCGCCACGGAGATCTCAGCTGGTGTTCCTCACACTGGTGCTTCTCTCCCCACCGAGTCATCCTGGATTTATTCTGCATGAACGTCTGTGTGTACATGTTACTGTCTCTATAGAACGTTAGCTTTTTGAGGGCAGGCACTGCTTCCTTTCTCTCTTTGTATCCCCAAAGCCTAGCATAGTGTCCTGTACCTAGTAGCCCCTGTTTGTTGAGATGAATTTGAATGTACCAATAGATGAAGATTATAGCATCATAGCATCAGAGACACCTGAGGGCACAGCAGAGAGACAGATGGGCCAGAGGACAGACCTGAGCAAACCACGCCAGCATCCTCCTTGTGACCGCAGTCATGGTTTCTCTGGGCCGGGCACTCCCACAGAGAGAGCTCACTCCCAGAGCAATTCACCTCATCCAGGTGGATGGGCCCTTCGCCCTTCTGGAAGTATGAGCCTTCCAGGGCCTCGACAGCCCAACCACAGCCAAGCTGCTTGCACACAACGTTTGCATCCGCCAGGTCCCAGGCATCGTCGCATGCAGTCCCCCAGGAGCCTTTGTCCTTCAACTCTACCCGACCTGCACAGCGATCACCTCCATCCACCAGCCTCACGGCGTGGACCTCTAGAATAGGAGAGAGACCGAGGGAGAGAGAGGGGATGAAGGGAAGGCATAAGGGAAGGGGAGGGGAGGGGAGGGGAGTGGAGGGGAGGGGAGAGAAGGGAAGAAGGAAGGAGAGGAGAAAAAGAGAGATAGACGACCAAGAGTGTGGTCAGCAGGGAGAGATGGAAATAGATACATTGGAAGGTATTTGAGAATCAAGTAAAAGATGGGCAATTGGAGCAGAGAAGTAAACAGAGAGAAAGGGAGAAGCAGATGTGGAGATGGAAGCAATTGGGAGAGTTGAGAAGAAGAGAAAGAAATGGAAAGACAGAAAAAAAGAGCTCATGAGAGAGAATACTTGATTATTCATTTACTAGAGATAATTCCCATCTGTGAGGAGTTCTGGTGAATGAAGTGCATCTCCCACTCTCTCTTCTTTTTTGAACTCCCCTCTCCTCCCCTCCCCTAACCTCCACTCCCCTCCCCTCCTTTCCCTTCCCCTTCCCTCCTCCCCTCCCCTCCTATCCACTCCCCTTCCCACCCCTTGTTGAGCCCGTCCTGAGTAGAGCCCTGATTCCCAAGGTTTGGTACAAAGGGAGCCGCAGAAGCTTTTCTGCCTCTGGGGCGACACGCCCCGTCAGGACGGTGGTGCTGAGGGAGGGTCCTCTCCTCACCTGCACAGTCGACCTTGGCTGATCTCCCGCTGGTGCATGCAGAGGGCTGTACCTGGCATCTTTCCCAGCCTCCCTGGTCGCAGAACACAGGCAGAGGGGAGCCCCAGGTGTCGTTGAGGAACTCACTCCTGTTCCCCACAGGGAGGTGCTCTGGTCTCTCTGGGGCTGGAGTCACAGTAGGCACCACTGGCTCCATCCTCACACAATTCAGCTCCCTGCAGACAGCGAGGCTGGCCCTGTTGCTCCAGAAGTCCTCACAGACAGGCTGCCAGGACCCTGACATCTTGACCTGCACCGCGCCACTGCAAAGGCCAGTCCTATTCACCAGACGGACAGGCTTCTTTCCTGGAAGGAGCACCACATGAGGCACTTGAGTGTTGTGGCTGATCTAAGAGCAGGGCCTTGGTGGGTGGGGGATGGGGCGAAGGTCAAGGCTCAGGACCCTCTCATGGTCTGGGATCTAAAGGGCAGCATGACCTCACAGCCAAGCCACTGGTCTGCAGACAGTACCAGGGATGCTGGATTTGGAATCCGAGCACCTGGGGCCAATTTCCAGCCCTGTCACTACCGTATGACTTTGAACTTTGCCTGTCTTGGCCTCATTTTCCTCATTTGTAAATCGACGCAGTTGATTTTGATAACCCTGAAGGTCAGTTCCAGCTCTAAACTATGGTCCTATCATCCTGTGAATGAATAAATCCAGGAGGGCCTGACATCAGGTCATCTAAACTCTTCTCAACACAATGACCACCCCCAGAACCGAGGCTGAAGCATGCTCTCCACCTCCTGGCAGAGAGGTGAGGGACTCAGGGTGCAATATGAGTCATATATTTTTTGGACATGGACAAAAAGGGAATCTATACTGCATATTTGTTACTAAGGTTTTGTTTTTCTCTCTTTTTATCAATGGGGGAAAGAGAAAAAACAAATTTCTATTCATCAAAAAAATTAATTTAAAAAACTTGAAAGGTGATCTGAGAAAGATCTGAGGGTTTAAGTGGATTGCAAGCTGAAAATACAGCAGCCAAAAAAAGCTAGTGCTGCCTTAGGAGGCAGGACTATCTCCCGACACTAAATCTGGAAGGATGGTGTGTTTAGTTCTAGATACTACAACTTGGGAAGGGTATTGACAAACAGGGGCATTCAGATGCAACTCAAGATGGTGGGAAGCCTTGAGACCAGGCCATTGGAGAATTGGTTGAAGGAGCTGGTAATGCTTAGCCTGGAGAAGAGAAGATTTAGGGGAACATGACCATTTTTTTGAAGTTTTTGAAAAGATGGTGTGTGGTGGAGGGATCTGGCTTGTCCTGCTAGCCTCAGAGGGCAGAGCCAGGAGAATATGTATTTTTTGTGTGTTGTCTTCTTCCCCCCCATACACACTTAGATTGTGAACTCCCTGAGGGCAAAGACTATCTTTCTTTTTCCTATTTGTACCCCCAGTGCTTAGCACAGAGCTGGGCACTTAATAAATGTTTATTGACTATTGGACAATGGGTATAGGTCACAAAGGGACAGATCTTGGCTCCATATAAGAAAACCTTTCCCAAAATTAGAATGGTCCAAAAGTGGAACATGTCATCTATGCCGCAATAGGTAGTGGGTTCTCCATCAATGGGATTTCATTGAGCAAAGGCTTAGATAACCACATGTCAGGTATGCCAGTGAGGAGACCTCTCTGCTCAGGTGCAGGTTAACCTAACTATCCTCAGAGGTCCCTTCCAATTCTGAAATTCTGGGGTTCTTGGACTGGTTACATAACTTGAGCAAGTCACTTTTCCTAAATCAGTGACTCAGTTTCCCCATATGTAAAATAGAAGGGTTGGTCACATGCCCATTACAATGGTCTTCAGTTTTGACATTTTGTGATTCTGTAGAAAATTCATGAACAGCTGACATGTGAAGTGCGAGACATTGAGCTAGGAGAGGTCTGTTGAGGGAGGAATGGATAGGAATGGTGGGTCTGATACTGTGACTTGAAGGGATGAGACCAATGTCTTCCTCCCCAAAGATGCTCTCATACAGTGGCATTTGGGATGCCCCCTAGACCGCCATGTATAAGCCCCACCCCAAATGAGCTGGTTAAGGAGCTCTCCTTGGCCCTCAAGCCACCCCTGAAAGGATGGGTGAAAAGATGCATAATCTCCCACCCACATCATTTCCTGCCTCCTGAACAAAATGTCACAGAGAGACGGGGCTCTTCTGCCCCCCTAGCAACATCCAAACCAGCCATAAACGGCCGCATCTCTAGTGAGGAGCCCTGGGGAGGAGCAGGATACAGGCTTGTCTGAGATGACGATCTCCTGCCAGGTGTGGGTCTCCCCACTTCTCTATCTTTGTTTTCTGGCTAGGAAGCAGCTTTCCCCACACTCCAACCCCTGTCTACCTTGCAGCATTGGTGACTAGGCAAAGCTGGTCTTCAGCACCTTCCAACTCACTTTCAGCCCCTTCCTGATGTCCTACTTCAGATAGATAGCATTTTGATAGAAGGCTCAGACTCCAAGGATTCATTAGATCTCTAACGGTAGCTCTTCAGACACTGGGACAGATTGGTGGAGGGAACCATCCGAGGCAGGGAGCCTTCTCGGTGCTCCCCCAGTCACCCCAAAGGCAGTCACCTACTTCATCTATTTGTGAGGCCAGCCACGTGCCCCTTCCCCCATCCCATTGGCCAGGGCTCTCACCAATATGTGATGTCAAGTTTCCCATGCTGTGGACATTGTCCAGTTTTTCAGATGAGGCAGGAAAGTTCAGAGTGGTCTGGCCTGAAAACAAATACAGAAGCCAAGAAAGGTAAGTGGGGAAAAAAAAGCAAACTATGGTATATGAACGCAATAGAACGTTATTGAGCCACCAGGAACGACAAAGTGGGGAGTTTCAGAGGAAACTGGATGGAGCTCAATGAATGGATGCAGATTAAAAACTGAAAGAGAAATATGGCGTAGTTCAAATCCCCATCCATTAGCTTTATACTGACCAGCGGGTCAGAGATAAAGGCATAGAAAATACAGAAGGGGTCCTTATCTAAGCCCCTCACTCCCAAGAAATGCATTCTTGCTCTAAGGAAAATGAAGAACTGTAAGTGTGTGAAGGGAAGACCTCTGGGGGCTTGTGTCAGGGAGGTCTACACACACACACACACATACACACACTGAAAAAGTGGTGAGGCTTCCTGATATAAAACATGAAGTAGAGATAGAGCCATTTGACGGAGTCACTCATGCTGTTCTTGGGTTTGTGATGGAAGTATATGGCCAGATACATTACGATTTGGGTGTGTCAGAGCCACTTTAAGACTCAGCTCTAGAGCTGAAAGAGACCTCGGACTATGTCTAGTCCAATCTCCTCCTTTTACAGATAAGGAAAATGAGGCTCAGGAATGGCATAGAATCATACGACCATAGACTTAGAATAGGAAGGGGCTTTAGAGGTTATCAAGTCTAACTCTCATTTTTCAAAGGAGGAAACTGAGGCAAAGAATGGTTACGTGACTTTCCCAATGTCACACAGCTAGTAAGTATCTAAGGTCAAATTTGAACTCTGATCCTCTGTCCCCTGATAAAGGGTTCTTTCCATAGTACCACACTTGGCTGGACCCAAAAGAGTATCAGCCTGGGAGGCAGTCTGCAGGGGAGTGCTTCAGGGCTCTCTTCTTGGCCTTGTGCTATTTAATTTTTTTATGTCTACAACTTGGATCAAGACAAAGATGGAAAGTTTGTAGAATTTGCAGATTACACAAAGTTGGGAATGTTACTTACCTAATGCTCTGAATAACAGGCTAGCTCCCAAAAGGTCTTGGTGGGCTAGAATATTGGATTAAATTAAATAAAATCAAACTGAACAGGGATGAATACCAAGTCTTATGTGAGTGAAAAAAGATTCGCTGTTAAGTACAAGATGGGAAAGCTGTGGCAAAGCAGGCCTGCCAGTGAAAAAGATCTGGGAATCTTAGTGGACTGCAAACTCAATGTGAGTTAGCACCATGGTACTACAGTCCCCCGTCCCCCAAAAAACCCCCAAATAACCACTAATGGTTCTTTGTTTGCCTTAAGAGAGAACTAGCCTGGGGAGTTGACCATTCAGCTGTCTTCTCCTCCCAATGAAACATCTGCTATTAGGCTGATTTCTGGGTGTCACATGCAGGAAGGACACTGAGAAGTCAAGAAGCATTTATTAAGCACCTCCTAGGTGCCAAACAAGGTGCTAAGTTCTGGAAACTGGAGAACATCTGAAAGGGGGACCAGGATAGTGAAGGACCTTGAAATCCTGCCCTATTAACATCTGTTGGAGAAACTGGGAATGTATAGTTTGGAGGAAAGAAGGCCCTGAGGAAACGTGAGAGTGAGCTGTCTCTCTAGTCTCTGGAGGACTCTGAATGAGAAAAGGGATTAGCTTTGTACCAGTAACCTCCAGAGGGCAGAACCAGAATCAGTTGGGGGATGGCACAGAGGCAGATGAAGGCTCCATATAAGGGAAAACATGCTAATAATTTCTGTTTTCTGAAAGTGGAGTGGGCTAGGGGGCAGCTCGGCAGCACAGTGGATAAAGCACTGGCCCTGGATTCAGGAGGACCCGAGTTCAAATCTGGCCTCAGACACATAACACTCACTAGCTGTGTGACCCTGGGCAAGTCACTTAACCCCATCGCCTAACACCCCCCCCAAAAAAAAGTGGAGTGGGATGCCGTGGGGCGGGGATCTGCCTCATCAGGGTTCTTCAAGAGAAGGCTGGATGCCCCCTGACCAGTCATATTTTGGAGGGAGATTCTTGTTCAGCATCACATCGGACAAGCTGGCCTCTGATTGGCAGAGCAGATGGGATACTGGACTATGAGTGGATAAAGTGCCTTCACATCTTGCCTCAGATACTGAACAAAACTTGCCCCAGGCAAGTCCCTAAACCTCTCCACGCCTGTTTCCTCGCCTATAAAACAGGGAGCTTTATCCAATTGCTTCTCTCGTCCTTTTCAGCTCTAGATGGATGACCTTAAGAAGGGGAAGGGAGCAAGCATTTATGAGGCACTACTCGTTCCGGGGCTGTGCTAAGCCCTTCCCCAATATTATCTCATTTCATAATCTTAGAACCTCACAGCCTCTTTGCCCCTTGGGTTTCTCATTTGTAAATGAAAGATTTGTACCTGATCGCCTGGGGGCAGGTGTTCTTAACCTTCGTCTGTGAATTTGTTTCTTTTTAAAAAATGATTCCAATATTGGTAGTTCTGTGTATTTTGTTTTGTCTTTAAAAACATTTTTTTTTCTGAGAAGGGCTCCATAAGGCTTCACCAGACTGCCAAAGGGCACATGATAGTCACGTTACAGTCTCTTCCGACTCTAAATCTGTGGTTCTATGCCTTCTCAGTGCCTCAGTTTCCTCATCTGTAATTCCTTTGTAATAATTGTAATTTCTTCAGGTCTCTTCCAACTCTAAATCTATGTCAATCGTTCTAAGAGTCAAACCCTTCTCCCTGCCTGGCTAAGATACTTGGAAGACCGTGGGAAGATAATTTGGTCCCTGGCTGGGCGGGCTATGAGCTTGGGTTTGCTAAAGCAAGAAGAGAGAATAATTCACAGCTAAGGACTGCTATGCCACCTCCTCCCCCTCTCCACACACCACTTTTGTTAACATTTAGGCACATTCATGCACATACACACAGCCCCTCCCCCAGAAGATTTCAACTCAACCCCCCCCCAACGATTCTTCCCACACACCACTGACTCACATTAACGTGCACACCCACATAGTCCTCCCAAGACTTCACACACACCATCAAGAAACACCACCACTTAACGCACATTAATGTGTACACACACACAAACACACACACAGAACCCTCTTATATAGACAGCCTGGGGGCCACTTCATCAACCTGAGAAAAAGCCATTGCAAGTCTAATTGCCAATCCAAGTAGAATCTTGGATTGGCCAGCGTATCTCCCTAAGGCAAAATGAACTCAGGATTCTGAGCACAGAGCTCTCTGTTGCTAATATGATATTCAGAGGGAGAATTCAGATTGCTCCACTTTCTGAGCCTCAGAATCCTGGTTCCCACAGCAACCAGCCCTGCTGCACCAAGGTGGTGTTTCATCTTTCTGGTCCTAACAAGATGAGGGCCAGGATGCCTGACTGCAGTGTATGCATGTGTGTATGTATGTATGTAGTGTGTACTGTATGACACATGTGCACATATGTGTTGTGTCTGTCTCTATACATGTGTGTCAGTGAGTACTTACATATGTTTGTGTATATGTATTATAGGTATGTAAATATATGTATGGATGTGTAATTGTGTATATGAATGATAGTACATATGTGTGGTGAGCATGTGTGAAATGGTGTGTGAATGTTTGTGGTGACTGAACATATGTGTATGTAAGGGTACACGTGGTTAAGTATGGGTTGGTAACTTAGCCAGTGAACAACTACATATTAAGTGCTTTGGGTGTTTAAACTCTTGATAAGTATTTTGATATTGGTAATCCTATGTATTTTGTTTTATGCATTTAAAAACATTTTAGGCCCCCAAACCCAAACAGGGTCATGAAGAGTCAGATGTGACTGAAATGACTAAACCACTATCACATGTGCCAGACACTGTACAAAGAAAGGCAAAAATGTGGCCCTGCCTTCAAGCAGCTCACAGTCTAATGGAGGAGACAACATGCAAAGAAGTCTGCTCATAGAAGTTGCACCCAGAGCAGATGGGAGGCAACCTCAGAGGGAAGGCACCAGCGGAGGTGGGAGGGAGACCGGAAAAGCTGCCTCCTGCCCCACCAAAGGTGATGTTTGAGCTGAGACCTGAGGGAAGCCAGGAAAACTGAGAGGAAGGTGTGAGGAAGGAAAACATCCCTGTGATGGAGGAGAGCCAGCAAAGGCAGGGAGGGAGCCCCTCAGGGTCATAGCGTGTGAGGACCAGCATGTAGCCCTCGGGAGCTAGAAGGGGAGAAGGAATGCAGGGAGCACAGCATAAGAATACCAGCAAGGTAGAAAGGGTTACAAAGGGCTTTAAATGCCCCAAAAGGGAACTTCATATTTTACCCTGGAAGTAATAGGGAGCTACTGAGGTTTATTGAGGAGGGAAGAGTGACATGGTCAGACCTCTGTTTGAAGAAAATCACCTTGGCAAGCTGAATACAGGATGGGTTGGAGAGACAAGGCAGATATCAATTAAAAGGTTAGCAGGCTAATCCTGCTATCACAGTGTAAGTAGAATGGGAGATCAGGGGAATCTTGTTGTTCTAGTACACTGAGATTTCAGTAAAGCATTTATTTGACAAGGTGTCTCCTGCTATCCCTGCAGGCTAGACAGTTAGGTACATTTAACTACTTTATACTTAGGTGGGTTTGACTGAATGACTAAACCCAAACAGTAATGACTGATGGTTTGATGTCACCTTGGAAGGGCATCTCTATTGGAACGCTGCAGGGACTTATGTGTGACCCTGTTCCATTGAACATTTTTATCAAAGATTTAGGCAAAGGCCCAGATGTCCTGCTTATTGAATTTGTAGATGACACAAGGCTGGAGGGCATGGTTATCATGGTTATACAAAAAGGTCTTGGCAGGCTAGAGTGTTGGACTAAATCAAACTGGTGAAATTTCATGGGGAGAGATAGAAAGTCATAGGTGGATTCAAAAAATCAACTTCGCAAGTACAAGATGGGCAAGGCATAGTTAAACAACAGCTCTGGGGACTTCAGGGAACTGAAAGATCAATGACTCAATTGTGTGACATGGCAGTCAACAATGGCTAATGTGATCAATAGAT